ATTATTCTAGATAGATTAGCTTTCCAATTTAATTAATTATATATTTTTAAGTAACACTTCTGTATAATAACAATTATTATTATTATATAATTCTTAATTACTATGTAAAGAAAAATACCTAACGCTGATTCTACGAGAGATTTTAGTTTGTCATTAAGACGAAGAATAAATAAAAAAAAACAGAAAAACAATAACTAACTTTAAAATATTATAACTGAAATATATTCTTAAACTCCTTTTAGGCAAGGTTCCGAAGATCCTGGCAGCGTTCCCCCTTTGAATAGCTAGACTTTGTCTTTGTCATTAAGATTTTTAGACATTTTCTTACCCTGAGATCAAACCTACACCTTTTTCGTAAAGTACAAAAGAAATATATAAACGTATAAAACGTATACCGTGTACAATTCGTAAGTCCGGGCAAAGAAAGTTATACTACACTGAAAAACGATGACCAACATTTACAGAAAACATCCTAGTAATGACTTCCTTAGAAATAATGCCAACGATTTTGCAGTCAAGCCAAAGCCAAGCAAAGCCAAATATAGACAACCTTGCCTCATACAAGGAGGATTATGTGTATACTATTATTTATAGGACTACCGGCTCACGCCTAAATTATCACAGATAATCTTGTGCATTAAAATCTAATCTAATATAATTATCGTAAGGATATTTAAAAAAATCTTAAACTGTCTACGTATTCCCATGGTAGTGTAGCATTCTCAATGGTGGATTTACCAGCAGGCTGGAGCCTAGGGCCGCAGATTTTTGGGGCGGCAAATTTGGGATTCGATTTTTTTGCTACCCAATAGAAATCAAACAGATTATGACGTTTTCTGATGTTTTACAGAAGTCTGCAAACTTGTGCAACTGGTGTAGCAAACTTCCATATTCTAGAGTAAAATACCTAATCAGTAGTCTAGCTCTGCGCCCTCAGCTCACATTTATGAGTGAAAAGAGCGAAATTGCAGAAAATGTATTTCCCTCTTACCCTATCAACTATACATAATGTAATTTCTACTGCTGGTTGGAGGTTGCGAACTGGATGGTTCGTGTATAAATTTGGATTGAACGAAATCGTTGGATTGTAAAAATAATCTAGGACTAGACAATTGTAAAGGCAAGGGCAGGACAAACTTCACAGCCCCCACCTTGAAAATCTGTAAATCCACCACTGAGCTTTCTAAAAGTTTTCAAGCATTAGGTTGCTTGTCCCTCTAGCAAGGCATGAACATGTCTTAAAACGTTACGATGTCATAGTTTACAGAAGCTACTACACATTAAGAATACCATATATAGAATCATCAAAAACCGTAAAAGTCAAAATTATTAATTCAACTTTTATAAAGTTTAATTCAAATTCTCATCCTATGGACCGATTTTTGTGGTGGTTAGGTATTAGATTAATCGATTCCGCTACAAAGAGGTTGTTTAATACGATGCATATAAGCCTCAAGAAAGCTTTAAGATATTCTGCTGTTTAAGATATTTTTGTTTGTTATTCCATGATTTTCAACCGATGTGTGAAACGTTTCAAATTTAAACGTATGGACACACTGATACAAATGAATACCTTTTTCGCAGTACTAAAGTTTGCTTGCAAAAGGAATCACTAGGTACTGGACCGTCTAGGTCAGTGAACCTAAAACGCACGTAACACTGAATAAAAGATACTTTTTAAGTACCTCTTGAGTCGCGTCGCCGTACCATACACACACACACATACAGCTTCCAGCGTGCCTAATCACACATCAACACTGATATTCTAAAGTTTTTAAGACTTGAAAATAACTGTTTATCATGAGTATGTGATAAAATATTTGCAGGAAAACCATAATTCTTTATACAAATATTTTATGGGGGCAATTGATTTCCTGTCCCTGTTGCTCCTGTTAATGTAAGTTGTTGGGGTCGTTGACCCCGGTATTTCTTCAATGGAGTTTTCTTTCTATTCCATCAAATACTTCTTTGCGAGGTATCCGGCATGTCGTCTTTCGACCTAAACATGACGAGTTATAAAGAAGAATTACTAATGTAAAGATGCAAAGCAATTAATTGCGAGGTGTTTAAAAGCTAAGACTCTACTGGAATATCATTATTTCATGAAATTAGAATATACAAAAAATAAGAAGTATCAATACTACTACGAAAATCCGTAGCAATCACGGACAGCTTAACGCTTCAATGTATACCTATTGAAACCCTAAACCTTCTATTCAGTCCAAAATGAAGGTTTTCATTCGCAAATAATTGGATCTCAGTATAGATAATTGTTTATTCGAGGCCAGTTTTAGTATCTTCTTATTTTATTTATTTATTTACACTTCGTTACCATAATATACAAAATAATACTAAAATAAAACAGGTTACATAAGTTATTAGGCTACGGGCTGCCTAATCGCTAACAAGCGATTTCTTCCAGGCAACCCTAATATGGAACAATAAAAAAGGAAACACCAACAGCGGGTAAAGAAAAAGAAGTGCATAATTAATTAACAAAAAAAACATGTAACTATTATATACATTTTAGTTATAAAATTAAATAAAGTAAACGCTAAAGAAAATATATATGTATAGAAATATGTATAAACAAATATGTAAAAGCTAATCCAAACGTTAATTGAGTCACAATTAATACATATATAAGTAGTAGCTAATTACGAGGCAGAAGAAAAATGATCAAACAGAAGATTTTTAAATAAATTTAAAGACTGAGCTCGTCTGATATCTATTGGTAAGGAATTCCATAGCAGGCTACTTTTACTTTACTTCTTAGTATTAATTAAAGGCACTAATTATAGATAAATAATATTATTTCAATTTGTCCTATTCTGTAAGAGTACTAAAGTAATTAATAATTAGTTTACAAAACCTATATCCTACTTTTAAAAGTAGGTTTAAGTATGGTTGCATCCTCAAACTATTTGAGGAGTTTCTGTGGTCTGTTATAAAAATTACACGGCTGTTAATTAATACTTCTACTATTTCGTGGTTTTAGTTTCCCATAATACTACAAATGAGCAAAGGCATGTTTTGGTGACTGTATGGTGTTATCGGTGTTCAGCCTTCAGCATCTAACAATAATTGTTTCGCCGAAACGCGTAATTAACACCTCGTACCATTGACCGTGCGTGGAACAGACATTTTTTTACTTGAAGAATAATAGTATAAGTTAGTCTGTAATTTAATAATAATAATAAAGTTTATTTGCCTCTTCTCATTATTGCATTTTACGGGTTACCATGCTGCAGGTATTGACAATATTTGTGAGAGGCTAGGACCTATAATAATAGGACTATAAAAGTCCTGTAGGAACAGGTCACCTTCCATTGCGGACAGAAAATGTACAATGTGATGAGTCCATACTATGATTAAACTAAAGTAACAAACAAAACAAAACTAAAGCATGGGTGGTTTTGGGTGTGTGAATATGTGTAAGGGTGTGTGAATTTAGTTAAAATTTCTAATTTATTATAACACTCAACTGAGCTACAATTTATTTTGCAGAGAAAATATGTTATTTGCACTACTAGCTTACATTTGCTAATTAAATATACAGGGTTAACCTCTTTTACGTTAAGTAGAATATTAGTCAAATAGTACGACGTGACTGACCTAAAGACCTCTGTTAACGGGCTTCCTGTGCCTAACTAACGTCTAACCGTAACTTATAATTTGTTATTTATTTATACAAATAGAAGTCTGTAGATGAATCCTTCATACAACAAACTAAATTATACAAAATTATACGTAAATTATACAAAAATAAATTAGCAGCATAGCGAAATATCGTAATCTTTAAAGCAGTGTAATCCTAGCGCAGCTCAACCAGGTCGTAGATTCGACTCTACGCTGTACAAGTAGCTGCACGAAACTCTAGCGCTGACCGTTATTGCGCAGAAGTAAAAAATAAGGTACCTGAGGGGGGCTAGCGGAATGAAGAGTTTCGATTGGCTCTCCAGTCGCATTCCGTCCCCCGCGCGACGGTACACATGCGCAGCAATACCCTCCATGTATCGGCCAGCGCTAGACTTACGTGCCGCTGCCTATACCTATGGTTTTTTTTCCCATTTAAATACAAGGACAGAAAAGAAACGCAACTTCACTCGTTCAGTATAGACAAAAAATCTAGCAGATTATTCCTTGCAAAGCCCGAATTGTACACCGCCATATATTTTATTGTAAAAAGTTATTGTTAAAAGAAGTTGCTAAATCTCGAATTTTGATACAATTAAGTATTTTGTAAGAATGTTTATGATCACTAAATAATTGTTTTATTGCGCGAGATATTTTGCAAAATATAAAGAATGTTGTTTTTAAAAACCAAGCCGTTTAGATGCATATGAAATCTTTTTTAAAAAATATTTTGCATGAGAAATAACACGTTAGTTATGCAATTTTTATGTATTATACTTATAAATTATTATTAAGTGATATGGAATAGCGTCAAACCTAGCCGAGCTTTAGATCAGTAAAAGATTTATAATATCATTGACTTCAGAGATAGCAGGCCTGCAACTCAAAACTTCTTGGTGATGGACGAAAGAAATTAATCTTAAGCCTGTATTTTAACGGAACATTGTATCAAAATTAAATAAATATTGTATGTTTACTATTAAGAAAATAATACTTATGCGCCCTCTCTACTTAAGCAGTTTAGACAGTAGTTAGCTGTATTATGCCTATCTGACACTAGATGGCGTTTTAGATGCACTCAATGCGCGAAATTTAAATTTTGTCGTTAAAACAAATAGCTAAATTGTGAAACGATATTACGTGTAGTTGTTGATCCTAAAAGGATAATACACAACACAAACATATTATTATATATGTTCCTAGGTGAGGGCTATATAAAAACATTGTGACATATTGACAGAAAGCAATACTTCATAACAACAAAACAAACTGAAACATGACCAAGTAGATAAAGATTGTGGAAATGTAAATATTTTAGCACGATGGTGGCTTTCAAAGCAAATAAAGCATAATTTACACAAAATATGCTTTTACGACCACTACTTCAAATAAACACGCGCCCTCATCAGCTATATTCCTTTTTTAATCAAGTACGAAATGTTAGACCAACAATTAAAATAGGTAAAGACAAATTTCAGTTATTATTGGACGTACATCAGTTCGAAAAAGATGAAATACGAGTCAAAGCCCGTCCAGAGTACGTTATTATTGAAGGAAAACAAGAAAGAAAGACCAAAGATGGATACGTGATACGAAAATTCATAAAAAAATATCGTCTTCCCGATGGCTGTAATCCCCTACGTATAAGATCTGAGTTGTCTTCAGACGGTTGCCTTATTATAACAGCGCCGAGAGAAACATGTGGATTTTCATATCCTTGTGAAACGGTAGTGCCCATCACAGAATTTAACACAAAGACCAAACCATGCGATACATTTGTTAAAGACATTGTTATTGATAAACCCAAATCACAGCCAGGAAATGCCAAAGAACCGCCGAAACCCTAAACAAAATTAAGGACAATTAAGAACTTTCTTTGTTACATTAGGCTAAAAATTCTAAAGTTACAGTCGGATAGGCGTAAGACCAAATTAAAGTATAGTATATTCTATTTTTACGCTGTTCTAATGGTTCAGGTATTTTTGTACCATAAACAAATTTAAAAATACCACTGATGATACAACTGCAATATTTATATCTCTCATTGAGTCATAAACACCGAACGTATAAGCTTAATATAAGCCAGAACGTTCGAATACGCAAATAAAATATACGTCACGACTTCAAATATAAAGAGGATCGCTCGGCACTCCCTCTCAGTACTGAAAACAAATACGAAAAGACAATATGTCGATCTCTCCTTATTTCTTCGATTATGATTTGCCGCGGCGCTGGCCCCGTCGCCTTCTTGAACAGAATTTCGGCCACACGGTATCACCTGAAGACATCTTCGCAACCAGCCCAGTCGTGCCAAGACTTAACAGATTTTGGTGGCCACAAGACTCCAGCACGATTAAAGTGGACAGCGACAAGTGGTCCATCAACATCGATGTTCAACACTTCGCACCGGACGAAATAACAGTAAAGACAGTTGATGGCTTTATTGTGGTCGAGGGAAAACATGAAGAAAAGCAAGACGAACATGGGTACGTGTCGCGGCATTTTGTAAGACGCTTCAAGTTACCTCAGGAAATAAATGCTGACGCGATAGTAAGCAGGCTTTCCTCCGATGGTGTGCTAAGTGTGTTAGCCCCCAAAAAAGAAGAAACACAGAAGGGTGAAAGGTCTGTTCCTATCACACATACTGGTCCAGTGAGAAAGGATGTAAAAGAAGATACAAAGGAAGAAAAGAAAGAATAATTTATTTTTACAGTTTTAAAGGGGTTTTAAAACATGATGAGATACACACACTGTCCAATCAGTTTTGTGAATAATTGTAAAATTGTGATAAAATGTGTGTCGAATTATTCTCTGAATATTATTAGGATGATGAGTCAGGGTATTGTGAGTATACACTATACTGATACCTCAATTGTTAACAATATGGAAGTTACAAACAAGACTGTGATTTTTTGTTTACAAAATTATTAAAAATTCTTTACTAATGTCTGTTTTTGTATTTATGGTAATGAAAAGAATAGTTTAGATAAATGGCTAATATTGAACACCTAAATCTCTGCAAAGTATTTAAAGGTAAATACCTACATCTAAATACCTACATAATATTTTAAAACACTTGCCAGTTTTTTGCTTGCATGCATTCAACAGACAACTCAAAACGATTTTTAACATATTAAGAAAAAAAAACATAATATAATATGTATATGCTTGATGCTTCTTAGGTATTTATACTACATATATCCATATCTAATACATATGGGCTATTGTATCTATACCATGTCAAAATTGGAATTTAAGTTTATCTCAAATCTTAAAGAAAGCCATTTACTTTGAGTGTTTCTTTGAATATTATTTTATAAATGGGTTTGCTCTTGGGAATTATAAAAAAAAGAATACTTCCGCGCGGCTCCGATGACCGATCGGTCATATTAACTTAGCCTAAGGGAAATTAAATTATAATTATTGATTTCTAAACATAAATACATTTTAGTAAATATCTTTGAAGGTAAATAAATTTTAAGCAACTTTCGGCGTCATCAAAATATACTTCTGGACACATCTATTGGCCCACCTTGCATTTTCAGTTTCTTTTGGTCGTACCTAAAAATTTATATTAGGTCGAGTAAAAAGTTTTATGCAGTTTTGAACCTGATACATTTTACCATCTTTTTCGATCGTATTGTTTTAAATTTGAATTTAGAATACCACACCACATGGAGATACGCCTAACAAGTCGGGTATGCGCCTTGATGAAGTCATTGTTTGTTGTATGGCCAAGTCACGTTACTTGAGTACAAAAATTAAGAATAGTAGTAATGTAATTAAAATGACATGGAATATCATTAATAGCGAAACAGGAAGGTCGAGCAACCGAAGTAGTGACTACAGCCTTGCTATTGATGACGATATAATTAAATCAGATTCCCAAGTCGCCGCGGCCTTTGAAAAGTTCTTCGCAGAGTTTCCCGCGTCAACTACTGAATCTCTAAGGTCATCACCCACTGCTGCAGAGTCTTTACTTAAAGAAAACGTTCCAGTTTGTGAGTCTGAGTTTAATTTCCAATATGTTACTTGTAGAGACATAATTAAAACCGTTCACACGTTAAATATTAAAAAAGACTGCTGATTTGTGGGGTAATTCTGTGGACGTTGCTAAATCAATTATAAACATTGTAGCACCTACTCTAGCTGTTATTTTTAACAACTGTATTGACCGTGGTGAGTTTCCTGATCTTATGAAATATAGTAGAATAATACCGTTATTTAAATCGGGTAGTGCATCTGACCCTACTAATTATAGACCTATTTCAGTGCTACCTACCTTTAGTAAAATTTTTGAAAGGGTTATTTTAGATCAACTGCAAAGATTTTTTTAATAAACATAAATTATTACATAACAAACAGTTTGGTTTTACAAGGGGTCGTTCGACCACTGATGCCGGTGTTGAACTTTTAGGCCATGTTTATAATGCATGGGAGGATAAATGCGATGTTTTGGGCATCTTTTGTGATTTGTCCAAGGCATTCGACTGCGTTCTTCATGAAACATTAATCAGGAAACTGCATCACTACGGAATCCGGAACGCCTCTCTGGATCTCCTCACTTCTTACTTAAGTGATAGGATTCAAAGAGTTGATGTTAACGGGAAAAGATCACCCGGATCCATAGTAACAATGGGTGTCCCCCAGGGCTCTATTCTGGGCCCGTTTTTGTTTCTTATTTATATTAATGACTTGCCTTACCTCATAAAGGATAATCTTGATATAGTGTTGTTTGCAGATGACACTTCACTTTTATTTAAACTCAAACGTCAGCAGCTGGTTACTGACAATATAAATAGCGCCCTCGCAAAAGTAGCTAACTGGTTTAATGTTAATAACCTACTTCTTAACGAGAAAAAAACTAAGTGTATTAAGTTTACTATACCTCATGTTAGACAAGTAAAAACTAGTGTTCTCATAAAGGGCGAAGAGTTGATTCCTGAAGATACCACAGTGTTCTTGGGCATAACTTTGGATGCCAAACTTCAATGGGGCCCCCATATAGATAAATTGTCGAAAAAAGCTTAGCGCTGCAGCATACGCCGTTAGGAAAATTCGTGATTTAACTTGTTTAGAGACAGCCCGTTTAGTTTACTTTAGTTATTTTCATAGTGTGATGTCGTACGGTATTCTGTTGTGGGGAAATGCCGCCGATATTCAGACAATTTTTGTTTTACAAAAAAAGGGCTATTCGTTCAATTTACAAATTAAGTCCCAGACACTCCCTCAGAGATAAATTTAAAGAAATTAATATAATGACTGTGCCTTCTCAGTATATCTATGAAAATCTTTTGTATGCTCATAAAAATATCAATTTGTTTAAAAAATTCAGTGACGTCCATAACGTAAATTCTAGAAACAAACACAAATTTGTTGTCCCTACAACCAGGCTTAAAAAAATAAGTGGTTCGTTTAGATGCCAATGTATACGTATTTATAATAAACTACCTAGCCACATTCAAGAACTAAGCCTTAATAAATTCAAAAATAGTATAAAGCGGAAACTTTGTCAGAAAGCCTTTTATACTGTCAAAGACTATATTGAGGACAAAAAGGCTTGGGATTGAGCTGCTCCAATAAATTTGCACAATTAATGTTGATTTAAATACCTTTTTACATACTCTATGTACAATTAAATGAATATTTACTTTGTAAAGTATTATTTATACAATTTTGTATTATTGTGAATGTGAAGACTACGTGGATCATTGTTTTTTATTTATTGAATCCTTTTCTCAGTTTTAGTCATAGTCTGACAGTTTGAGTAATTTTCGCGGCCTACCCAAATGTCTTGTCTTTGGACTTGACAGGTCCACTCAATCTGTGTGGTTCTTTCCTCAAAAGACCATTTCAGACAACAATCTACATGGTCTTCACATAATCTTGTTAGTTATGTCTGGACTTTAAAAGAGACTGTGACCTCTGAGTTTGTTTCGGCGTTTCTTCTCAGAGTAGTCAGATAGGAAACGTCGATCTCATCTAGTTTTAAAAAAAAAAAATGTTTGACGTGTAAAAGTGTTTGTAAAAACCTACTTACAGAAATAAATCATTTATCATTTATCATTTATCATTTATCATTTATCATTTATCATTGATTTTTGAATAAAAAAACGTGTTTTCTCAAATAAAGGTTTAATTTAATGACGCGTGTTGCCTCCATGGGCATCTACGACAGCTCTCATACGATTAGGCATAGAGTTTATCAACCGCTCTATGAAATTTTGAGGGATCATCTCCCATTCCTCTTCTATGGCAGTTTTCAATTCCTGCATCGTCTGGGCAAGTGGCTGACGAGCCCTAACACGTCTTTTTAGCTCATCCCACATGTGCTCAATGGGGTTCATATCTGGGCTTCTGGCTGGCCAGTGCATAACTGCGATGTTCACATCCCGAAGATATTCTCTGACGATGCCGGCCGTATGGGCTCTTGCATTATCATGCATAAAAAGGAAATTTGGGCCCACATTGTCCGCGTATGGCATCACGTGAGGTTCTAAGCACTCAAGAATGTACCTTTCAGCATTTAATATTGGCAGCCGTGGTACCGTAACAACCTCAAGTTGAGTTTTGCCGCTCGCGGATATACCGCCCCAGACAGTCCATGAGCCACCGCCATAAGCAACCCTCTCTTCAAAGCAGCATTGTGCAAAACGCTCTCCCTTACGTCGGTAGACCTTCTTCCTTCCATCATTGCCATGTAACGCAATTTTAGACTCATCAAAAAAGAGTACATCGTTCCAATGCTGCTGAGTCCAATTTAAGTGTGAGCGCGCGAAATGAAGGCGCGCTATTCGGTGGGCTCGCGTTAGTTTTGGGCCATTAGCTGGCTTGTGTGGTACCATATCGCGTTCTTTTAATCTTCTCCGAACAGTTCGAGCGCTCACATTTACTCCATGGAAGTCGCGAAGTTGGTTTTGTATCTCAATGGAGGTAAGGTGACGATTTCTCAAGCTGGTCGTCACGATGAATCGATCCTGCCTTTCAGTTGTGACCCGAAATAGTGGCCTTCCTTGGCGACGAACAAAACCGCCAGTCTCTAGGTATCTCCGATAAACGTTTCGGACCGCAGATAAACATAAATTAAGTTGATCACTCACATTTCTTTGGTTGTGTCCGGCCCGGATAAGTGCCACAGCTTGGGCGGCAACTTCAGGCGAAGTATCCATAGACTATTGATAGAACCTCATCTTAATGTTAAGAATAAGTAATGTTTGTTGCATAACCAAAGAGAAAAATCACACTTTCAAGAATTAAATCCAACTAAACCAATAAAATCAAGTTTTCTTAGTATTCGATTGTTTGATATCAATGAGCAGGCTCCAAATTGTGTTTTGTTTCTTTAAATTCTGTGTTCGAAATTAAAAAAAAAAATATTGAATGCAATTATGAATGTACCAGGTTCAAAACTGCATAAAAACTTTTTACTCGACCTAATATAAATTTTTAGGTAGGACCATAAGAAACTGAAAATGCAAGGTGGGCCAATAGATGTGTCCAGAAGTGTAGTTCTCAAATGTAATAATAAATAAACGCGAGCAAATTTTTAATAATTTATTGCCACTAAACTAAATACGTAAAAACGCGTCCCCAGTATCGTGAAAATGTAGTAAAAACTGTATATTAGAAGCCTGTGACTTCCCAATCATATTACATAGTAACACTAGCTGCCCCCGCAAACTTCGTTTCTCTTGTGATTTTACTTAGCATACTTTTTTAGTACCTAAATACCAACATAGAACATTTTGCTATGCTACCCCAGACCGTTCAGTTTCTTGGTATGAAAACTTTTTAAGTTTCTCTGTGAATTTTTCTCTATATATAACCCTCAGAGTTCAAGTCATTAGATTTAAATTAACACATAAAAATAGGGGTTGATCGTAGAGGGGTGAAAATTAGGGGTTGTATGTATTTTTGTACGCTGTATCATAAAAAATAAAAACAAAAAAAAATTGTTAAAAAAAAAATTTTGGGGTGGACAGTGGACACCCCTTATCACGGTTTGAAAAATAGATAGTAAAGGTACTGAATATGCATAAAAAATTTCATAAGAATCAGTCGAGCCGTTTCGGAGGAGTATAGGAACGAACATTTTGACACGAGAATTTCATATACATTTTAGAATTGACCTATTCTTTTCTTGATAATTGTATTTTAATTTATTATAATTGACAGTGAAAATAAAATGGCAGAGTGACAGCACACTTGTTCTTTATTTGTTACGTCTTCCAAAAAGTAGGTTTTAATATGGCTGGCTTTGGCTTATATAGGCTCATCCCCTCCAAGTGGCTGCCATTTGCGGTTGGCAGGCATGGCGGTTGGTTGGAGGGTTGGTCAACATGGCATGGCTTGGCTTTGGCATTGGCTATGGTATTGGCTATGGAATTGGCTATGGCTTTGGCTATGGCTATGGCTATGGCTATGGCTTTGGCTTTGGCTTTGGCTTTGGCTTGGCTTGGCTTGGCTTGGCTTGGCTTGGCTTGGCTTTGGCTTTGGCTTTGGCTTTGGCTTTGGCTTTGGCTTTGGCTTTGGCTTTGGCTTGGCTTTGGCTTGGCTTTGGCTTGGCTTTGGCTTGGCTTTGGCTTGGCTTGGCAGGATGTGACTGGCGACGTCACGTCCGTTACACTCGGCCATCCTGGCTATACGGCTGTAACGGGAATTCTTGGCAGCTTTCAGCCCTGGCTAGGACCTCTCCCGGCGACTACACGATAACCTCGCACCCGGTGTTGACGACTTTGATGTAACCATCTTCGCCACGGAGCAGGGTAGAGGGACAAGAGTAGACCACCACCCTCGTAGTGCCGAGGTGGCGTTACCACATCGTTGCCGACCTTATCCTCCAGAACGCGCACTTGAATGATGAAAGAGCCAGATGGACTTTTGTTGTTTTGTTTTTCTTTGTTGACTTCGCTGTTGATAGGTTGACCGAACAAAAGATTAACGTCGGCCATCTTGATGCTAAAAATGCTTTTTCCATTGCTCCCACGTATAATCGTAGTCCTACAGGCGATTATACCTCTTCTTCGCTTGACCTCGTAGTATAACGTATATTCCTCACTGTCAGGGTCGAATTACGGAGTCAAAAATGCAGCACGATGTACTTGTAACTTATTTAGAGCTTCATCAACACAGTCATGTTGAAGATCGCGTAGAGCCTTTATTACTTCTTTTTATTAACAGTTTCTTGAGCAGCTACAGTGCCGGCGGTGAAGGAGTATCCTCATCTTCCTCCGACATTGATTCATCAGAAGGTCGAAAAACTTGTGGTCGAGGTCGTTTTATCCCACTTCTGAGTATAATTGACCTATTCTTTTCTTGATAATTGTATTTTAATTTATTATAATTGACAGTGAAAATAAAATGGCAGAGTGACAGCACACTTGCTCTTTATTTGTTACGTCTTCCAAAAAGTAGGTTTTAATATGGCTGGCTTTGGCTTATATAGGCTCATCCCCTCCAAGTGGCTGCCATTTGCGGTTGGCAGGCATGGCGGTTGGTTGGAGGGTTGGTCAACATGGCATGGCTTGGCTTTGGCATTGGCTATGGAATTGGCTATGGCTTTGGCTATGGCTATGGCTATGGCTTTGGCTTTGGCTTTGGCTTGGCTTTGGCTTTGGCTTTGGCTTGGCTTGGCAGGATGTGACTGGCGACGTCACGTCCGTTACATTTTAGAATATAATATTTTAATCACAATTTTATTATGAAAAAAAAAACTAAATACCTACCTATATACAAATTATTTTTATTACTTTAAAGGAAGAAATATATTTTATGACCTGACAAAAAACTTTAAGCTATTATTACGGAATCTTGATAGAGGGGGTACCTACCATATATTATTATACTGACGAGGCATTTTCTAATTTTTCGGCATTTTTTAATACCAATAATATATAATTTTTAATTATTAGGATGGAAATAAAACATTTTAAAGAACACAAATTGTTTATTATTAAACAGAAAATTATATCAGTCTTACAGAAATGGAATTTCACAAACTTACAAACGAAATGCATTATTCAGCTTTGTCGCCGTTCGCCTGAGCATTAACCTCCTTCCGAACAGGCCCCGTTTGAGCAATTGGTACGTTTCTTTCACCCTGCACTGCTGATGGCACCTTCCTTGGAGCAATAACGGTCAGCACACCATCAGATGACAAACGAGATTCAACTGACTCCGGAACACAGCCCTCTGGCAACACGTACCGTCTAGTAAACTGACGAGAAATGTATCCATGGTGATCTTTCTTCTCTTCGTGCTTTCCTTCTACCACGATGTACCCATCAGCTGTCTTAACGGTTATCTCCTCAGGAGTGAAATGCTGGACATCTAAATTCACCTGGAATTTGTCTTTGTCGGCCTTGATGCTGGACCCAAGGTCGCGAGTCGCGGCTGCCAGGTGACGCCAGGGTCTGTAGTAATCCCGGAGGGCAAGAGGACCAGCGACAACGCTCAGAAGATCGTCCGGAGTCAAACCTAGCCCGAAATGTTGGTCCACCAGACGGGGGGGTCGCAAATCATCCAATAATAAAGGTAAAAGAGACATTTTTATTATGTGTAAATTAAATGCAATATGAGCAAAGCACCGATAACTGTCACTGCGGACTACACTTGCTATTGACTTTTGTTTTCAAGATCCAACTGAGAACTGACACACTCTGTACCAGAAGCTCAGTTTATATGCGAATAATATTCTGGATAGGACTCGAAATTTCGAGACGATTAGAGGTGTTACACCTTTGGTTCAAAGAAAATTAAAATCATAATAATTATTTTTTTAACTTCATCTTTACCGTGGATGAAGTAGTTGTCTAATATATTTAATTATTATAAAATGTTGCGTTAACCAATTCTAATAGGTTATTTTAAAACGGTTAATCTATATGTATACTTGGGTATTTAATAAAAATTATTTGAGTAATACATAATTTTAATTTTTATTAATTATTTTAATGTATGAAACAATTTACATTTAAACAATAGTTCAAATATTAAAACCATAGACCACATTCATTATGTAGGTACCTTAATAAGTTGCTATCAATATATATATAGAAATGGAAGATGAACAATTATAGATTGTAGAACTTTTTGTCTATTTATCGTAAAAATATTTATATATTGTAATAACCGTAGTAGTAATAATTAAGTGATCTTAGTTTTTTGTAACGAATTTATACACCAAAGGTTTATGTTCTCTGAAAGTGATGTTTCCAGAAAATTCTGGATACTAAGGCGACATCTATCATCGAGTAGCAATAGATTTTAATTAGAAGTTTTATTTGAAAATAACGCCACCTAGGAAAACTAGTACAAACTAATATAATAATGTTCAAGATCTAAATTTATGTTTATTTTTATACAATTAATCATTATTAATCAGTTAGTTTATTACAATAAAAATAATATTAGCTAGGTTTAAGTTTTGAATATTTTATATTCTATAATAATATTTATTTTCTATCATGGCAAGCAAAAGTTAATTGTCAAATAAATAAGTTGCTATATTATTTCAGATCAAACTTGCCAATAATTTGGGAACTTATGGTAAAACAGGTTAAAATTATAATTTTATGCGTAAATAAAATGTATGTAGTAGCAGGATGTTATGTTATGTTCCTATTCGAATAAAAGGGAACTTTATAAAAATAAAAATATTAAAATAGTACATATATATTTTATTTTATACTGTCATTAGCTCGACTATTTTTATTTTTGAAATGACACTGCTAAATATTTAGTCGAATGTATCGTACACGTTATTGTGTTGCCAAATCAAATAGCTGATAGATGGCTACATTGACGATGAAAAAAAAAAAAAAAAACGAAGACACCGTCTCTCTCTCTCCCCGCTTCACCTTTTCCCTCCTGGCAAAATCAAATGTGGATTGTGGAATGAAATTGACGAATCTATCGTCGTCAAACTTTGAAGTTGTTTTAACTCGTTGTACGAGGACCGCTTACCGCAAGTAGATTTGTTACGATTTGTATTACAATCGCGTACCTAGGTATTTATTGTGTTTATATGTAATTATTGCATTTGTGATATTGTGAATTTTATGCAATAATTTGCCTATATCATTTAGTTTAATCGGTGTTGTGATATTTACAGTGTATGTGCAAAGTGCGGATTCCAACAGCGGTTTAGTTGTCGATGATCAGAATTTAAATACTGTGATAAATTTCAATTGACGATGGCAGATAATACAAAATTGACTGATGAAGAGAGAGCAGAAATCAGAGAACAATTTTCTCAGGTAAGTGCCTTAAAGTTATTTATTTTATTGTATTGTTCCGTAATTTTTACCGGTGACTGCACCAGTACAAATGCGTTAAGCCTTATTAAAATAAAGGAATCGCTCTTTTTGAAATAAGCATCAAGATGCGGATTAATATAAAACTTTATTATCTTTCCATGCCATACATGCTTTCGAATTTATTTCTGCTTCTCCGCGTGTGGTCGAAAATAAGTTTATTTCCTAGCTAGTTTAGTTCATAGGTATTTTACGTCTCTATCTTGTGATTACGAGTAAATACAAGTGATTACTTGTCAGTACCGATTAACGTCATATTCATTATTATTGATTTAATTGTTGCAGGTAATGTGACCTTTGATTATTAATCTTATTGCAATAAAAATTAGAACATTGACCTTTTAAGCAAAATTATTTGCATACAAATTTATTGTCTCATTTGTCCTTAAGTTATGTTATAATCTGATCTATTGAAAAAAAATTGCTTTATTAAAAACAACCTATTGGAAAACTTTCTTAACATTTTAGGGTTGAAAATAGTATTTTAGTGAAATTACTATTCACTAAATTATATATATATTTGAAACATATTGCAAACAAGGACATATTGTAAGTGAACAATATCATGTCAAGGAGACATATGGCACCTGAATACTAAAATACATGGTAATACCAAATTGCCTCTTGTGTAACCGATGACACATGCTGAGAATATTTACTACTTACATATGGCATGACTAAGTATTCTAAACATTGTGTTTGAACTCAAAATCAGAAACCCATCACCTTTTGTCTAAAATATCTAATTTATGAAGTACATATATTATAGAGGTTATTAAATTTTTGCATACTAAAAATGAACTAACAAAGGTATTTTTTTGTGGACACAATGGACACAATTTTGCACCTGTTTGTGTTAGCCTAGATGTAAAGTACTAGAGTTTTGTACTTTACACCTATCATTTTTATATGATTAAGAATATACCAACTCATATAATTAATTCACCAAGTGATCATTTTTTTACTTCTAAGAAAAATATTAAATGTTCAGTAAAAAAATAAAATGAATGTACTTTATTTAAACAGAGCCTTCATTAATTAGTCTTCTGTACATTCATTTATTTGTATTTCAATCTTCAAGTTGGTTTAAGATCTACCCATGTTTGAACTAATATTTAAAATCTATATTTTTAATGATCTTATTCTTTATTAGTTGTTGTCAGCACAACTTCATTTCCATGTTTTAATCATAGTAAAAAATCACCCTTTTGCTTTTTTTAGTCAGAACAAAATATATTTCTACTGGTATTGGAATTTTAAATCCATAAAACAGTATAATTACAAGTTAATTAATACTGTATTTAAACAATAACTTCTTATATTTCAAATATATACTATAAAGCTTATAAAATTTTCAAAACATTAAATTTAGAGGTTCTGGGTTCAATTCTAATTAAATAATAATTTATTATCTAGGAAGGGAAAGGATCTGATCACTTTCTTAGTAAGACATAAACATGTATTTGCAATTATCATGCATTGCAAAATACTAGACTTTGCACACAAACATTTCTTCATCCACTTCCACTCATATAATAAAGTACCAGTTTTTTGAATGAAATGCCTAATAGACCATAAAACTAAGAATAAGTAATGTTCATACTAACAAAAAAAAACTATAATACACACAAATGAAATCCACTTTCACAGTTTATTAGATAATGCACCAAGCGGAACCAAACAAGATAGTTTTACATAAAAAACACAGAAATCAAACAAATATCATCTTGTAACAAATTGATTATCCAATATTTGTTTTTATGGTTTATTGTGCTGTGAAATTTATATTTTTTACACATTAGTATCCAATTGTCATTAATAAAACATTATTTTATTGTTGTTATAATTAGTATAAAGTCTACTATACAAACAAATTTAAATATTGGCTATAAAATTAACCAAGTAAGTCTAATTCGGTTGTGATGTATGTAAGTGTGTTGTGTGTATACTAGACTAAAATTCTATTAAAAATACACTATTAGCCAGAAATAGCCTTTCATTGTTTTGTCTTTATTACTTCTGTGACACTTTCAAAGTAGTAAATCGTGACAAAATATCATTCTAATAACACGTGAAATTCTAAACACACAGTTTTATCGACTGCCCAATAAAGGCAGTCGATAAAACTGTGATCACATAAAAATTTAGTAAAAACCCTCGAATTTATTGATGTCTTAAATATTTGTCTTAGCTCAATTTTTCGGCTAATATTTGAATACGTATTTTAAGGCTCAGGTAATTTCTTAAACGTAGAAAAGACATTCTGTGTTTGTATCGATATAGGTAAACAGTTTGTTCCGGGACAAAATATTAATTGTTATGTCTAAACTCTAAGTAAAACCCAAAACCAGGTTCACCTACCAAAAATGCACGTAAAAAGGATATATAGAAACAAGGCATGGACCAATTAGAATGTTCTTTTGTGAACGGTTAGATGGCCGTTCCATTTCAAGAATCCGCAGCACGCCCCCGGCCTTGAAAGTACCGTCTTTCAAGAAGCTCTTTTACCATTGGATATATGTATATCTTTGTGAAAACGCGCCGTAACACCAGAAATTCTATCCTTCCCTGGGTTCTAGGTTCCATCCTAGATGTCATTTTACCCCAGGCATACATACACATAGTTTTATCTGTGTTTATCAGAATAAGAGCCAGTTTGTGTTTTTTAAACCTTCAAAATATTAATATTTTCATGCCTTTAAAGGGTAAATGGAGATATTAATTTCACTTAAAAGTAAATTATAGAGGTAATATTGAAAGGGTCTGGTTTTCGAGGTCACACTTCCGTGCTGACTCATTGGTGTAAATAAAATTTACATGACTAAATCTTAAAATTTATTATAGGGAAGTACTTTGTAGGTCACTGCGCCAAGTCAATAACATTTTGATTAAGATCTTACTAAGTTTTTATTACCGTAAATATTTTAATTAATTGGTTTTTACTGAGTTTTAAATATATGTATGGTGCATGTTTTTCGTAGTCGTTCTGTATTTATACATAAAAGTGAAATCTACTTCACTCATTTTAAAAGTAAATATCAAGTACAAAAGTTACGAAGTGTAACATTTACCTATAAAACATCGATATCTATATGTTTATAGTACCAGTGAAAGATTACCCACATAATGCTTCATTAAGACTTAAATCAACCAAAAAAAATTTGCTATCTTCTAGTACTTAGTAGAAGATTATTATATTTTATTGCTATCTTATAGAAGATATAAGTACTAG